AGATGTTGTCCTTTAAAAACTGACAAGAGTGCACCAACTGAAGGACTTCCTATACCACCCTCTAATGAAGACAATTGTGTGGTCAAGGTAATTAAAATTGTTAAAAATTATGTGTTTTATTATAAATATTGTTTTTTTTTCTGAATTACATTGTTTTTTATGAAGAGAAAGAAGAGGAAAACAGCTCAGAGAGAGAGTGAAAGTGAATTACCAGCCCCTTCATAATGTGGTTAAGGTAATGATCTTTGTCATACATAGTAATTGGTGTGGTTAGTGTATTTTCTAATTCAAAAATTGCATATATTATTCATTTTTTGTTTTGAAGGGGCAAAAGAACAAAACAAGTGGCAAAGTGTGTGAAGTGTCAGCCCCTATTGAGGATAATACTGTGAGGAAGGTAATTTTATTTGTTAGTTGAACAATTGTTATTATTGGTCTATTTTATTTATTCAAGAAGTTTGTTTTCTAACTTGAGATTGCATAGATTGTTTGTGAAGGGGAAAATGAAAGAAACTGTGAGAGCAACTGATATTATACAAACACAGGAATATGTTGCAATGATACATACAAGGCTCACCATAAGTCAAGTCCTATCTGAGCATCATGATAAAGGCAAATCCTCAAGACTCACAAGAAGCCAGTCAGTTGGGCCTAGTGGAGTTGCAACAACACCTTCAAGACTCACAAGGATCCAAACTCCATCTGCATCTATACCTACTAGGAGAAAAGAATGTCAGATTACAAAGGAAAGGCATATTTCTGTTGCAACTTCACCCACAAAAGTCAGAAAGAGCCAAACTCAATCTGCACCTGCACCTAGACCTACAAAAGTCACAAAGAGCCAAACTCAATCTGCACCTGCACCTAATTGGCGCTGCAGCACGGCTACGCAGGACGCACTGCTGGGCTGATGAAGATCGTGTGTTTCGACTGCCGATAAGCCGCGAACCCGCGCCTTGAATCACCGATAGTGTTTATCAAGCCACAACCGCGCCTATTGAAACGATAAAATTGCTATAGTATTCTGGTGAAA